CCCCCCCAAAACAAAAAAGGGCACACCCACCACAGAGTTACAGACTTCTAATTCGTATGGAACAATTTCCAGTACTTGTCTGCCGCCGCAATTAGTACTTCTTCCAGTGGCAACGTCTCCTCCCTAGCTCTCCTCCAGCTACCCGCGGCGTGGCGTTTAGTTCATCTCTTCTCCTCCTCCAGGTGTCTTCATTCCTCAACCCATGCCGCTTTCTGAGACAGTTTGGGCCCACCAGACCCAAGAGCCCCATCGGCCTTGCGTTCTCTGACAGAACAACCCATGCCCGCCCATGTATTAATTTATTATTATTACCCCATGCAACAACCCAACCTGTTCATGACATGACGCTGCTTACAATGTTCCTTCGGGGGGGAACATTTCTCAACCCAATCTCTTTCATTATATTATTGATTTCAGCCTCTCTTCAACTGTCCTTCCCAAGTTCCCCTCTTTTTCTTGCTACCACCCGAACTGGACTGGACTGAATGTCTGAATGAGATTGACGTCGATTATCACCTCCTCACCTACGTATGCAATTTTTTTTTTTTTTTTTTTTTTTGGCTATCTCGCTGGTCCAATGAGGATGCAGCCTCGGTTCGGGGCTTGCAGTGGGGGATAAAATAATCGGAATTTGCTCAATAATTTGATGTTTGTCCCCAGAGAGGTGACAGTTGAACGTGAATTTAAAAAGAGTTTGAACGGGCTCAAAAGTTGGGCCCACTTTTTTATAACCATGATCAAGTGTCAAGTTGTGCTATGCATATAGTTTAACCCAGGCTCTGGTCACCGACGGATACATCTCTCTCTATCTCTTCAACCTCACCGCCCTGGGTTAGGGGTAGGTTAGGGTTAGGGCTGGAGAAATATGATAAAATCACCACCGTTAAAAAAGCATGTACTGCGTAGAGATATGTGAGATATGTGAGATATGTGTGAGACATGACTAGTGTATGTGGTTTTAAAGAGGGGTGTCAAGGTGTGAATGTTTAACCCCGCTGAAGGCTTTTCATTCAACTATGCTCTGTTCGGAGTCCGTTCTTTAACCCTCGAGAACTCTGGGCAGAATTTCTAACAGTTTTCCACTTGAATATGAGAAGAAGTTTGGGCATATTAAGCTTCACCCGCCTCTCTCAGAGAGTGACGAAGATACCGCCAACAAGGCGTGAAGGATGAACAATGACACTGATAAAGAGAGAATCAACCCGGAAATTGTAAATCACATAGTTAGCTCTCGACGGTTCACTCGTTACCCATCGATGGATTTGACGCAATGCCCGGTTTGACTATCATATCGTAATTCTCCCAGAAAACAATCTTCCAAGGATGAAGATTTATATTTTTACATTTTAATTAAGTTGTGCAGCTATGACAGTGATAGATCAAAATCATAAATATCCGCGCGTCTGCCGTTATTATCCCGCGTATAAACTGCCGTGCTGCTGGAGCTGTCAGTGTCTCCTTATCCGAAGACAGATCCTGGGAATTTACCGCAGCTCAAGCAAGAATTCTTCTTTTTTATTTATTTTTCTTTATTTTTATTTTCATTTTATATATATTTTTTCGTGGGAGGACTATAATATATCTTGGACTGGCCGACTTTCAGCCACTGACAAGTCAAGTTTGTCACACGGAATACTGAGCTCCGTAGATTTGGAGAGATGAATGACGATAACCCGAAGAGTAGAAACAGGTTTTATGAGCATAGCACATTTACCCCGTACACTCCGTACCGCCGTCGGGAATAAATAAGAGACGATCCAGGTGATCGTCAGCGGATCGAAATAAAAGTTAACCCTGCTTAAGCCCTGAGCGGCTGGTCCCTGGGCATAATAATAATGGGCTGGTGCCAGTGGCTGATATCAGAATTGTTTCATTGTTGACAGTTGGCCACAGAAGATGTTCTCTTGATATTTTGCTAGTTATCCTCCCTCAATCTTTTTAAGCCTTTGATTGTAACTATGGATGTAACTATGATATCATGAGATTATTTTTGATTTAAAGCTTTATCTAGATTTCTTCTACATCTCCATCGGTAACTACAGAGTATGAAGAACAAAAACAACACAACTATATTATTACCCGAAAGTATAGCACATTGAGTGCTATTCCGAAAAAAATACAAATTCTGAACATCTTCCATTGGAGCTGAAACCACGGAATCCTGCTAGGTGTGAGTAGCTTCGTACCAACCATCCGACCGAACCAACCAACCAACCAACCACCTCAAATCCCCTTTATCCCAGCCGTTGTACGGAGTACCCCGTATTCATCAAACGCGCCCAGCTCTGGGACTGACTCACTCGATGTCCATATCCGGAGCAACGCGACGAGCTTGCAGATATCATTACAAACAAATCTCGTAAAGAACACAGGTGTCATGCTAATTTATATACTCGGACGACCTGCGTGAAAATAGTTTTTTATATCTATCCCACTTGGGAGCAATATTTTCTATCCCACTTGCATCTGGTCTGGGACGACTTGAACCGGTTAAACAAGAACCGCGACTGTTCGTTAAAATCAAATATATCTGAACATATTATTTTACATGATCTTCTCCCATCCTGGCCAGAACAGCACGGTCGGTTCTTTTCACCGAATTCAAACCCCGGACTCTGTTTCACATGGCCCCGAGACGATCGGCTCGGGTAAGCGCTATAACGCAGCAGGCTGCGTTGGAGAAGAACAACGTACTGAAACAGCAGCCTCCGAAGAAGGAGAAGAAGACTTCTCAGAACAATGGCGTTACAAAGAAGAATTCTGCAAAAGCTACCCCAACACAAACTAGCGGGAAGGGGAGGAAAGTATCTACTTCAAAAAGCCACAGCCGCAGTTATAGTCCCATCGACAACAGACAATGTAGCCTTCAAAATCCCCGACATCCCACCCCCCTCAACCCCCAAACGTGCACGACCAAACAGCACAAACACAGGCATAGACGCA